AAAGGCAGGAGGAGCTATTAAGGCGCAAAGAGGCCAAGGAGAGCCTGTCCGTCAGAGAGGAGAAAAGCGACTTCTTCACTAGCGCCTTCAACAAGGAGAAGGCAGCAATAGAGGATGTGCTGTCGGGCTGTACTGAGGGGGATGGAGGCACGACAGCTACCGTTTTAGAAGAGGTGTCTTCCAGGATACAGCAGCTGCAGAAATTTCTCAACGACAGCATGGCGTTCCTCACCCAGTACGAGCTGAGACAGGCTCAGGCCTCACTGCAGAAACTGCAAAGCACCCTAGGCGAGAAGCGAGACAAACTGATGCCCAAGAAGAAGTTCACCTACCGGTCGCGCAACGCGGGGACAAGCAAAAGTAAGGAGAGTCCCGATTCTAAGAAGGAAGACTCGCCGGGCTCCACTGCTGTTGATAGTATTAACAACTTAAAACTGTTATCAGTGCTTGTGTTTTTCCAAATAACTCTTTAAAAAGAGAAAGAAACGTTATCTTCCATTTACCTCAAATGAATTGGCTAACACACATGATTGTGATTTTAATGAATTTGCTTAGAGAAATGCAGATTCCAGTTTTAACCCGGATGATTTGTTGAATGCAACAACAATGACAAGGGTGCGATTTTAAACATTTGACTCCTGTTGGTACCTCTAACCCACGTGGTGTGCTGATTGTCGTTTTTCAGCTGAGCCGTCTTTAATTAGTAAAGGTCATTAAAGAGAAATCAATTGCTGTAATTAGATTTGTTTTGTTGTCTTAAAGGGCTGCCTGTTGCTAATTCCCCTCTGACGTTGGTCTGTGGCTAATTTCCTTTTTGTTTTGTCTGGGAATAAATCTGGAATGCAGGCTAGCCTGGATTTGCTGTTCTAATAGCTTTGCCTCTCCTGGAAAACAACAACACATAGATGCCATACAGTAACTAAGAAGGATGAGGGGGATGTGTGTAAGGCTGCTACTCTGGCTACAAAAAGGTCTTCTTTGTACAGTTAGTATAATTATTAATACATTTAATAATTAATATTAATAATAATTAATAATTATACTAACTGTACAAAGAAGACCTTCTTCTTGGGCATCAGTTTGTCTCGCTTCTCGCCTAGGGTGCTTTGCAGTTTCTGCAAAGGCGAGAAGCGAGACAAACTGATGCCCAAGAAGGTCTTCTTTGTACAGTTAGTATAATTATTAATCCCACATCACCTTGAAGTTGTCCTCTTTTTATCTTGTTTGTGCCATAAAAATCGTTTTACTAAAGGGATTGTTTGACAGATACACCAGTACTGTAGGGTGGTAACAGCACTTGTAAGACACTTAAAAGCTTCTTAAACTAAATCTTAGTAATAGAAAATAATGGGGGTACTTTCCTTTAGTTTAAACCTGTGCAAAAAAAGCATATTTTGTGGCATACCATAAACGACAACATGAAAATCCTTAATTGCCACTAGTGTGAACGTAAAAGTTTTCATTTATAACATTTTTAACATCCAGGTGGATGCTGCACATTCGTGGTGGTTGAGGGGAGTCCCCATTACCTGTAAAGCGCTTTGAGTGGAGTGTCCAGAAAAGCGCTATATAAGTGTAAGCAATTATTATTATTATTATTATTATTATTATTAATTTGCCCATTGTCCCTCGCTGGAGAAGAAATATTTTATGCCCCAATCCAGGTTTAACATTTTCAGTTACTGTGAGCATTGGCATTGTTCACATTAATCATAGGAGACGGGGAAACAGTTCCGTCATTAGTTGCTAGTAAAGCTACTGGTGGTGCTGTTTATGGTAACCGAAATTCACACTTCCCGTGCGAACGCTTGAGGATCTGTCAAGGCGTCCTCCAAAGCCAGTGTCCTGTGTCTTTAAGACGATATAAACCCTGACCTTTAACCCAGCCAAGTGGTCCAATGAAACGAGAGCTCGCTTGAAAGGAAATTCGATATTTGACCAGTCAGAGGACGGTTTGTTAGGAAGTGACCAGAAAGGCTGTGGAGTACTTCCTTTAAACACAAAAGTCCATTTTATAATGGAAGCCGTCGTTGCATCGGAGAAAGGGGCCTGTCATGCGAATGAGGACGAGGAATCGAGCGGAAAATCCAATGTTCCCGAAAGGCTGCTGAAGAGGGATCAGGAAAGGCAGGAGGAGCTATTAAGGCGCAAAGAGGCCAAGGAGAGCCTGTCCGTCAGAGAGGAGAAAAGCGACTTCTTCACTAGCGCCTTCAACAAGGAGAAGGCAGCAATAGAGGATGTGCTGTCGGGCTGTACTGAGGGGGATGGAGGCACGACAGCTACCGTTTTAGAAGAGGTGTCTTCCAGGATACAGCAGCTGCAGAAATTTCTCAACGACAGCATGGCGTTCCTCACCCAGTACGAGCTGAGACAGGCTCAGGCCTCACTGCAGAAACTGCAAAGCACCCTAGGCGAGAAGCGAGACAAACTGATGCCCAAGAAGAAGTTCACCTTCCGGTCGCGCAACGCGGGGACAAGCAAAAGTAAGGAGAGTCCCGATTCTAAGAAGGAAGACTCGCCGGGCTCCACTGCTGTTGATGGGACGGAGGGTCGCGCCGGTGGCAGCAGGGGGCCCATGGCTGTGGACGGTGTTATTAGTGAGCAGCAGTGCGGCTTGTCAAATGCCGACTCGCAGGTATTCGTGAAAGGGGCGGATGAGATTCAGCAGAGCGACGTGCTGCTGACTCACCTTTCAAACTGCAAAGTCAAGCTGTTGGGCTCCCCGAGTACCCTGCACATCAAGCACGTCAGGGACTGCGAAATCTTGTGCGGGCCTGTGTCCAGCTCCATATTCCTGGACCATTGCTCGGGCTGCACCTTCGCTTTCTCCTGCCAGCAGCTGCGGACCCATAACACCACGGATTGCCAGGTGTACCTTCACGTCACCAGCCGGGCTATAATTGAGGATTGCAGCGGAGTGCGATTTGCCCCATTCAGTTGGAGTTACCCGGGTATGGAGGCCGACTTTGAGGTCTCCGGCCTTGACAGGGCTAAAAACAATTGGTCTCAGGTAGATGATTTTAACTGGCTGTCCGCTGAGAGTCCTTCGCCTAACTGGGGTGTTATACCCGAGCATGAACGGAAATCCGAATGGGACTGAATTATGAAGTAACTTGCTAGCACTAAGTTAAGAAGAGCGAATCGTTGCACTGCACCTATTTTTGTGTGTCTTCAGATTAACAGAAGGGCTGTTATCTTTGTGTCCTGAGCGTTGCTTGCTTTTGTGAGATTTCTTATCCAGCCGGGGCTTTGGCACATACAGTACATCAACAAGTAGAGTTGAATCTGGACTGTTGAAGACGATAAGAAGGTTGACAGTTGAATGTTATCATCAAATGCAACACGTGTTCATTAAAAGGTGTTCAGCATATGACCCTTTATTTTATTAGAGGAGCTTAAAAGAACTGTAGTATATCAATGTTCTACATTACATTTGGCTTTTTACAGACATGCTCCCCTGTTAAAAGTGTTCTTTTGGTTGAGACATTTAAGAAGGTCAGTGTTACTTTACTAAGCCTAAACATTAGTGTCCCCTTAATACTTTCTATGATTATGAAACAATAGGTTAAAAAAATCTCTTGATGAATTAACTGGCTTTCAAAATATTACAAATCAGCTTGAAAGAAAATGTGAGGGTACTTCAGTCTTTTGAATACCTACAATACAGTATTAGAAGAAAAACCTGTTAAGTCGTAATTTTAAGTGATCTGTGGCATACTGCAAGATGAGTTATTTGATTATCACCTTACATACTATAAGATTAGTGATTTTTTAAAGTATAAAACCTTCCATAAAATGGAGAGCAGGAATGTAAAAAGATTAATTATTAATTTATAGTTTAAGTTTGCTTCTCCTGTGAATTCTTTCATAACTTTATAATACGTCAGATGCTATTTTCAAAATAATCATAGTAAAATGATGTATACTAAGATCCAACAAAGAAATGGATCTGAGAAGTCAACGACCTAAAATGTGCATGAAGGAATTGGATGCAGAGAGTCACTTAAGGGTAGGGGAGCATTTTATTCTGTAGAATATCACAAAAATATTTCATAAGGAAAAACATACACCATGTAAAAAACATCTTGAAATCACCTCCAAGATGAATGTCTCTGTAAGCAATATCCATATCTCCATAAGTTGCATTTTTTCATAATGTCGATTGCTTGATGTGATCTGCTCACAATGAATTAAATTTCAAGCATCTTGGATCAGCAGGTCCAGAGACATTCTTCTATACCCACATTGTACAGTGCCCTCCATGTCAGGCAAAAATATGCTCTTGATGAGTGCAGATCTACTGGCGCTTGTTTATCGGTGTATACTTCAGGAAATACCAGAGGCATGGTTTGTGAGCTTGTTTGATCAATAGTCTCTTTTGTTGCTTGTAATTGTGATGTGATGCAATGCACCTTCTCATCACCGTTCGGAGCCCATGTAACTGACAAATGTTCCAAATTAAAGGAAAACCACTTACTGTTACTCTGCTTTCCGAGTGTTGCTTAGTTTATTTTTACACGGTTTAGCCTTGATTCCAGATTGATGTCGTATAACTGGCTGGTGCCTTTATCTAAAGAACCTCACATTTGTACGGCTAACATTTTACTGATGTAATGTAAGTCACGTCTCTTGCCCAGGGGTACAACAGTACTGACCCACCTGGAATAGATACCCACAGTCTTCCACTAAAAGATTTTAGAGCCTTTACTACTCCAGAAGGTTAGATAAAGCAAAATAAAACTAGAAAAGTGATTTTGATCTGATTAAATGGTTCAAACCATGACTTGGTAATTTTGGGCCTATTATAATTAAATGGTATTTATTTAAAACCCAGACTATTCAAGAACTAAATGCGGTTATCACCTGTAAAATACTATTTTATATACTGAATATATTTTATATAAGTAACATATGTAGAAAACTAAATATTTTACAAAACACAGCTTTCCAACAGAAGAATCTCTTCCCGATCATCAAGCATGGTGGTGGGAGTATCAGGGTTTGGGGCCCACTTCGGTGCCTCAGGACCATCATTGGTGGAACCAGGAATTCAGGTTGAAGGAGAATGTCGGGCTATCCACTCATCGGCTGAGGCTGAACAGAAGATGGGTGATGCAGCATGCAAGCAGATTATCCAAGTCAGGTCCTAAACCCCATTGAAATGTTATGGTAGTCACTAGTACTAGCAGTTACAGAATCATACTTATTCATGCATGGATATTTACCATTGAATCATTCTGTTAATCCAAATATATCCAATGTCTTTGTGTTGCTAGTTAAATCAGAGATTTGATTATGCTTTAGGTATAAAATATAAAAATATGGACCATCCAAGGGGGTTCACAAACCACACTTCTTGCACTATATATACTGAAATATTACAGTCTAATGTACGTAACCTGTGGCTCCAGTTAATTTGTCAGTTTGTAATGCTGTGAAACCACAGGTAATGCAAATCTATAGCTTTCAACCTTAGTAGTGGTATTGAAGTCTCACAAATGAATGTCCTGCAATGAACATACAGTTTTCCAAATCAAATTATAGTGCATTAACTAGTTACTAGTCTTCACCAGCCAGGGTAACTGGGTCATTGGGAGGGGGGTGTAAAAAAGGATGCACAATTCACATATTCTAGCTGTTTGTGTCCCCAGAGGCTTTTGCCAGCTTCCAAACTCCCTTCCTCGCTGTCCCTCTTGGCGAGTTAGAGATGGAGGTCCACACGCATTCAATCCCCCAGACTCTTCGTATGACATTCACGTCCAGCATGTAAACGGAAGTCGTGCCGGCCAGCTCGGAGAGCCTAGCTCCCTTGCCTACAACATGGACAAGCCGACCACGTGAGCTTTCAAACCAATTAAACAGTAAGACACTGGATTATTTCCTTGGCTCATCTGCTGCCAGGGATTTCTGCAAATGGGATAAGTCTGCTTAGAGGTTTTAGGCTGACGTACTGTAACTTCAGGTTTAATCATTTGGGTCCTAGGCAATCCTCCTCCTTTTGCTGGAAAAGGACCACCAGAAATACCTGTAGTGCCCACTTGCCAGGCGTTTATGTTAATTTTTGTAAAAACATCATAACAACGTGTGGGGGAGGGGGGCAAAAATTATCAGCTGTCTGTGCTCCAGGCGTTGCTATTATTTGGGTGGTCAGGATGGCTATGGGGAAGAGGATTCTAACCAAAGTATTGCCCTTGTCGGCTCCTTCCTGGAATGGATTACAAATTTCTTCATAAACCCGAACACTGTTATCGTTGCTTCGGTTCTTTTGCTTTTCAGCAATAAGATCTGCGGACCCAAGACCCTAGTGTTTCCTTTAAAAGAAAAGAAAAAAAACTACAAGCAGCTTCTGCTGAAACAAAAAACAAATCCATCAGAATGGCTATCATGAAAGTGAAGTTTGATCAGAGGAAGCGGGTGAAATTGGCACAGGGACTATGGCTGATGAACTGGTTCTCAGTGATGGCCGGAGTCCTGGTCTTCAGCATGGGACTGTTTTTCAAAGTCGAGCTCCGCAAGAGGAGTGAAATGATGGACGACTCGGAGAGCCACTTTGTCCCCAACTCCCTTATTGTGGTGGGGATCCTTGTGTCTGCTACGAACGTCTTAGGGGGCAAGATCTGCTATGACTCCCTGGACCCGGCCAAGTTCAGCAAATGGAAAGCTTTCCTAAAACTCTCCCTGGCTGTTTGCTTCTTCTTCAACATGGTTCTGTTTGTAACGGCCATGATGTGCTTCACCATGCGGCTGGCTCTGGAGAGCACCCTGGCCCAGGGGCTGAAGAATGGGATGAAATACTACAAGGACACAGACACGCCTGGTCGCTGCTACATGAAGAAGAGCCTGGATATGTTGCAGATCGAGTTCCGCTGCTGTGGGAATAACAACTACAAGGACTGGTTCGAGATCCAGTGGATCAGCAACCGCTACCTGGACTTCAGCTCCAAGGAGGTCAAGGAGTGAGTGAAGTCTGTCTTTTTTCACCTGTCCTTTCACCGCCCTGTTCGGGGGTTATTTCCAAATGCCATAAAACATTCCTGTGGGGGCTGTGAAGAACACATTTGGTGCGCGAAAGAAAAATGATCAGCCAGCAGGAAAAAAGGCATGTGTAATGACACAATATTAGAAAAGGAGAACAAAAGTTCTCTTGATAAAAAGCGATTCAGCGTTTCAATTCAGGAAGCAGTTCTCATGATAGGGCAGATCTGAGATGTAGCAAGGCATAATCTAGCAGATCAGATAAAGAAGCAGCTGCACACAATACTCTTTCCTAATTTGTACTTTATTACTGCACCACAAAAAGGAGACCAATGATGTTTTGAAACCATTATGACTCATTTCCCGACAGCACACCATTAATATTGCTTGATTTGCAATTTATTCAGTAGAAGCTATGGCAGGTGTCTCACTAAGACCTGATACAGAGATCTTTATTTGTCTCAGAATGCTGAAGGCAGCATTCTGCAGTGGGTTTCTGAACATCCCGCACCATCAACAGATAGTTAAACATAATTAGATATTGACTGATTTAATGTTGATTTTGTTAACTACACAGATGATTATATAAAGGATTGGTGTATCATAGTATTATTAACTAGCAGTACAAATTTCCAATTAGTCAAAAGGAAAGCTGGATCCAGATTAGCAATTGGATATCTGGGAGCTACAGTGCCAGGAGGACATTCCTGGAGTTTACAGACCTGGGTAGCTCGGCATGGCCTTGGCTATGTGCCTTCTCATGATCACTGGAGAAATTCTCAACATACATTGAGAGGTCTGTCTCACAGGGCCGGAGGAACAGAAGTGTGGGAAACACAAGTGTCTTTTTGGATTAAAAATTGTGCATGTCTGCATTTTACTATAAAACATGACTAGGATAAGGACTGATACAATCTTTCTGAAAGTAAGGTTCTTTAGTTTACTGAAGTGAACATGAGTAATACTGAAGACTAGGAAACATAAAACCCTTTTTGGTAAAACAACATGGCAATTACATTTTTTAAATGCGTTATTTCATGAGCTTTGGAAAACTAAATAGCAAACATGGAATTTACAAACCATAATACTTCGTTTATACTTTACATTATCACATGATGTTACTTGTGGAAAACAGTATGTAGCTTCAGCTAAACAGTTCAATGAGCATTTATTATAGTTGATATCAATAGTAATTTGACAATCCTTGCTTCATTTAGTACTCTAAAGAAAAATAATCTGCAATATGTCAACATTTTAATAAGAAAAGGACTACTGTATATGCAACAGAAGCTTTATAGAAAAATTCTGATCAAAGCTTTACGACCTATATTTTTCTGTGTACTACATTATATGAGTAAGAGTAGGAAACCTTATGTTTTCTTATATGCAAAAAGGTCCTTGGATATATTGATTAATTGCTTACACAACATGGAGCTGTGTGGCCACAGTGAGTATGTGTATTGATGGGTTATAATTGTGAGGTATCCTTCAAAGTGGTGATACATTCTAAAAGTATGATATTATTATATTGTTAGCATAGTATTATAATACCATCATTGTATTATTCGAGTATAAAGTAAAAAGGCACAAGGAAATCAAGGTGATGCTTTTTTAACATGAAAATACATAGAAAAGCCTATGCTAGCACTGTGAAAGCAAAGTGTGTGCTAAGCAAACAGGTAAAAGATTATACAAATGTATAGATGTACTATATGAACTTTGGTGTGGGCTATGTATGCCAGGAGCAGGGGTTGTGTTAGTATTTGGGCAGCATATGCTCAGTCAGGGGCCAGGCCTTGATCAGACGATACAACACTGAATCTCTCCTTAACATTTTTCTCTATGACCACAGGCAGCTGCCTAGAACAGAAATAAATCCCAGATGAAGACGACTAGTGGTACATTTGTAAGTGTAATTGAAGACATTTTCATTCACACTTGCAAACGTCTGTTTAAATAATAACACCACATTGATAGGTACAATGCAACAATAATAATAATATACTGTGCATCACTTGTTCTTTCAATCATGCACTTAAAAAATAAAAAAATAAATTTAATATAAAATTTAATCAGAATGTAAAGGCACACCACCTAATGCCGAAATATATTTTCATTTATCCTCATAAGGGTATTGTCAGAAATAAAATGAACATAGTAGCATGACCAGAAGTCAAGCACTTCTTTAAGCTAGAAAGTATATCAAGTTCAATTTTAATAGGACCTATTGTTAGTCAATGTCCTACTCCAGACATGATTTCATATTGAAATCAGTGAGGGGTATCTTCTTTTGGCAGTTTTGAAGTGTTTACCATTGCAAACATAATTTGAGATTGAAAATTAACCAGTGAGGTGGCTCTTCTTTGGCAGTTTTTTGAATTGCTTATGATTGTAAACAGAGGAAGATCACCAGGGTGCAAAGTACGACAGATTTAAGGTTTCTCAACAAAGAAAACAGGGGAACCAGCTTATGTTGGGTTCTAGAGAGGAACTGATAACAGGGTTTCTCAAGTCTGATCTGCAGGGTATCAGGTAATGAAAAACAGACATGTCATAATGTCATACTGGTTTACCTTGAACCCAGATGATGATGCTATTTTCATAAACCAGCTTTAATGCCACACTGATTCTCACACATCATCAGGGCAAACCCTGTCATTAACCTGACCTTCTCTCACACTTTTAGCACCAGCAAAGTGGTTTGTCAGCCTGCAGAAAACTGATCTAATAGGAAGGTAATCAGTGCTAAACATAGCACAGCTCATTACAGTGTGAGTGTTCTGTGAGCGAAGCCTGTACAGTGTATTCAGACTGGTTAATGGCCTTCTCTTCTTAGTCACAAAATATGCCTAAATCAGTGCCACCAATAAACATGTTTTACTCTGGCAACGTATAAGTGTTCATATGTATAGATATACATTATATAACTTATATAATGTTCCGCAAAATGCACAATCTGTAGTAATTTGGATTTCGGAACAGGAATTACTCTGAGATAAAGGTTCTAAAATGTTTTAACTGGCAATACTTTTTCAGAGCCAGGACATATACTATCCTTTCTGCAAATATATTTTACTTCATAAAGATGTCATTAAGCCTACAGTTGTATCAAATGCAAAAGCATAAGTAGGAGAGATAAATGTGTAAGGCATCATCCACCAGCTGACCTAGTTTTCAGGGTATTTAAAGATTATCACTAATTACAGTATATAATGCATACAGTACATGGTCTATCAGGATACAGACCACTTCTGGGAAAAAGTTCTCTCACCAGCAGCCCAGTGGCTGAGCAGCATGAAAGGGACTGAATTATATCATAGATTATCTACACCATAGATTCTTAAGCAAATACAGTACACTGTTAGAACAATAAAGCTGAACAGTTTTACAGATCATTGAATGGATGAAGTATGTGGTGGAGCTGTGTCTTCTTGCCCAGTTTAGCACCACTGCACAGCTTGCTCACTAAATATCTAAGTGCATTTTGAAACATGATCTCTTCTTCTATCAGGCCCAGTAAAATATGTTATGAACAAGTTATATCACACTTATACCAGCATCGCAAATACCTATCCTGTGTTACATGTTTGACACGTGCTCGTCTGCCTTGGCATTGTAGACTGCAAAGAAATAGGTGCATGTTCATTCCATGCTGAAAGGTAAAGAAAAGAAACACTACATTTCCTCTGTGGAGTCATCTTCCACAACTGAGACATAGTCTTTCTTTTCTTTACCTGTCAGTAGGGAATGAACCTGCAGCTGTTCCTTTGCTGACACAGCTCCCTACTCGAACTGTAGGTTTCAGATGCTTTTTACACTACATGAATTGCTTGGCTTTATAGTGACCTTGTGTGTATTTTATTTGACAAGCCCACTGAGCGCAGTGCTTATTTCAGGGTAGGATGCAGGAAGCAGTACTTATTTTTAAGTTTCATATATATATAAAACATAATAAAACCTAAAAAATATATAGAAAAGATCATCTTTTGCAAGAAAGCTCAAGCTTTTTATGCTCACGCTGCTGTAAAAACCGTGGTGTCTGCATTGGTGGACTGTGGGCTGTGACAGACCGGTTGCTCTCGTCTCCCTGTTTGCACGAGCAGCCGGATCCTGAGCAATGTGGATGGCAAGTACCTGATGGATGGGGTGCCCTTCAGCTGCTGCAACCCCAGCTCCCCGCGGCCCTGCATCCAGCACCAGCTCACCAACAACTCTGCGCACTACAGCTACGACCACCACACCGAGGAGCTCAACATCTGGACCCGCGGCTGCCGGGATGCCCTGCTCAGCTATTATGGTGGCTTGATGAACTCCATTGGCAGCATGGTCCTGCTGGTCTGGCTTCTGGAGGTGAGAGAGGAAACAAATCTGCAACATGTCACTGTCCAGTGACTCTGCACCCTTGGTCCTAGAGAGCTTTAGCCCTGCAGATTTTGTCTTAAAATGTTCATTGGCTAAGACCAAATAAGTCAGTAATTGGTTCAATTAAGGGCTTTGGTCATTAATTAAGGGCTAAAGAGGAAAGGACACTAAAAGACCTTGCTGCCTGTTGCTTTTATCTGCACGACAAGTGTTTGCATTCTTGCCCAAGTTTCCAGTGACGTTCAGAATAAGTCTATAAACCGCTAGGAAAATCACACCCATTGGCAGTCTTGGGTTGTTAAATGGTATGCTTTTTAGGTTTGGTTCATGCAGTCATTTCTTCCCCAAAATTAATAGGACCACATATTTTCAGCTCTTTGTACTCTTGCCTGTGGAAATAAATTCAACACATACATCACAAAATTCCAAACAGCATCGGAGTGAATTGAACTGAGTTCCCTTGATTGCACTTGACTGTGATTGATCTGCAAGTGGGTACCAGAGCCATGCACTTATTTTAAATAGCAGCATATTACAAGAGGGGTGGCTTAATCGATAATTTTATCCAAAGTGTTAAGGCATCAAGTACCGCACCATTTGCAGGTCTATGATCTATCTTTGGGTTTTTGTAGCTCATTCAGGGGATAGAGCTCAAAGGTTATATTTCATACTCAGGGCTATACAGATTGAGTCAATGTCAATTTAAGCTTGTACCTCCAGATAATGTCCCTGTACTTTAACCAGTGGGCAACTTAGTCTCTGATCATGAGTGCCTTATCTTAAAGAATGCTATATAGAATGTATTGAAGTGCATCACATTTAACAGGATCAGATTCTTAGATTTCGTCCTTTCAAATGTTTCAACTCAAGATCAGTATGACATGTTAAGAAGGTTACTGGGCCTCATATTGGAGTACACAGCCTTCCCCACATATTGGAATTGAAAGTATTAAATGCTGTGAATCTTTTCTAAAGTGTCATGGGGATGACAGAGCCCAGTGCCTGCCCTGCTGTGAGGTCCTGCTTAGAAGGTGACTCTGCTCACAATGGGACCACTGTTAATTGTAGCACCACTGACACTCCTTGGCATCAAAGATCATGATGATCCTGCCTGCCTTCATCAGTCCCTGTGGTTAAACTGCCTGACGTGGTCATGCTGATGAATATGAGGTGACCAGGAGAAATTAAAGCTGTTTTGCATGACCACTTACCCTCTTAATGTTCAATGAACACGTGAAACTTTGCTTTGACACTTTTGGATTGGAATAAGGGCCTGATTGTGACAGATAAAGATGAGAGAGTATGACCCTGCCATCCTCTTTTCTTTCCTATGTGTATGCCAGAGGATATTCAGGAGTTGTGGTTAATTCCAAGTCCATTTCATGGTAAATGGCATTGAATGAACACTGTAGTTACATGCAATAGAAAGACCTAATTTTTTCTTAAGCAAATTGAACACATCAGAAATAGAACAACACAACATTTCCCAAAAATCTAGGGCACCCGCCAACAAGTTTCCCCAGTAAAAAGTCTGAGACAGCCATGGTGTAATAAAGGTCTTGTTATCAGCACCACTCCATTCCTCTACAGACCTCTACCTAGCACCCATAGCACCATGGATTACAGCAGTGGAATAATATTAATACATATTATTAAGATAGGCCAAGATGGGTTTTTTTCAGTTATCAGCTTGGTATTTCAATGGAAAACAGTTCACTTATACAGCAGAAATATGTCCATTTTTCCTTAACTGACCTCTTAATCTGGAACATTTTGGAACACCCCATGAAATCTTGGTTGATGTTTGCATATTACAGATCATGCTATCATGATGCTTACCATGAACAGCAGTATTTTGCTAATACCCTAGGCAATAAGTCTACTTCTTACATTCTCAGATGGTGGTAATGGTAGGGTTGCGGTATCTGCACACCTCCCTGGAGTCCCTGTCGAACCCAGAAGACCCCGAGAGCGAGAGTGAAGGTTGGCTGCTGGAGAAGAGTGTGAAGGAGACCCTCTCCTCCTTCATGGAGAGCATCAAGGCCCTGGGGAAGACCAACCAGGTAGACGCAGAGGGCGGGGCAGGAGAAGGGGCACAGGCCGTTGCCACGGTGAGCTGAGAGAGCCCTGCCCACCGGAACTGAGACCACTCCCAGCCGGGAGACAGAAAAACAAAGCACGCTCGCTAACACCTACATGACAAAACTGCACAGTCAAAGTGAACAAAATCCTTCTTCTGGAATGTGAAATAAGAAAAAAAAAACATTTACATGTTTAAAAAAAGCATGACGTTTTTTCAGGTAGTTAATGGGTGTGGTAAATTTCTGTCTTCCAATGTCACCCATCTGAATTACGTATGAAAAATAACCTCACATCAACCCCAGCTGAGCTCCGAGTTCATGCCTCATGTCTTGCTTTGCAATAAGGAATCTTGCAACCAGAGAGCAGGAATACATTCCATTATTTACACCCTTATAATATTGTACCCTCATTTAAAAAAAAGATATATATATATTTTACGCTAGTTTGACATTTCAAGTACTACTGAAAAAAAGGATCTTTAACCCGATTCACATCGCCCTTCCCTGGAGCTCGGTACTTGCCCTCTCCACTGGTGCCCGATAACCTTTAAAGCCACAGCTCAAGTCAGTCTTGGTATGTTTTTCAATGGTTCACCTTAGGTCTGGGCGCAAGCACAGGCACAAAAATCTGACCGTTATCAAAGCACCTTGCACAGAAGAGAAAACAGAAATCAAGTCAGCTTCCCTTAGAAGAAACAAACTGATAAAGTCTGGTGTGTAATGTTTGGGGCACTTCAGGCTTTTTCTTATATTAGAATCATTCTGACAGTGAGAGTTGCCTTTCAGGGACTTTCTAAGGCCACACTGATCAGGTTGCTTTAAACTGTGAATTCAGCTATACGGTGGTAAAGGGACATCAAGCTAAAAGCTCATCAAGAGAAGGATGAGAGAAATAGGTGCCATGGTAGCACCTTGAATCAGGCAGCTGTCAAACCTCTGTCCTTGCCAACTCAAAAAGTCCCCAGGTGATACATTGGGTGGGCTTCTCTGCTGAGGCTAGCAGGACATGCCAAACAACAACCTTGACACAACTGTAGCTGTCGGGTCAGAGATCGTTTTTTTTTCCAATGAATCATCCAGGATTGTAGCATCTTTACAAGGGGAGATGTCAAAGAGATTTAGAATTGGGTGCAATTAATGTTGGAATTTGATAGTTCGGACAAGAGGAAGCTACAGCCGATTCTAGAACCAATTTCATGGAGTCTGTTTTAACACTGCTTCTTTATAAATGTGCATAGACATTAAGGATCATATTTCCAACTAAACACAATGTGTTGTTGCTAAATTTTAAACATATATATTTTACTTATCTTTGTAAGTATTTTCTTCCATTGTACTTTGAAAAGTTAACTCTTTCCTGTAAATTGTAAATTTCTATATACACTCTTCTGTCTTGTCCATTCCTACAGAGTAAGTTAGCTGGTTCTTCTCTGTTTGATAACGTGTATAAAGATTTACCCAAGACTGTCTCTGTCCTGTCTCAGCTGACTAAGCAAATTTGCTGTTAGGTTTCTGCTGCTTACAAGTAGGCACAATATTAAAGACATCTTGCATAAAACCAGATATTTTTTTCTGAAATGAAAATGCCCCATCTTTATAAAAAGGACACATGGAGTTCACATACACAGTGCTTGACAAGACTGGACAACAGTGGTTAACCTGCTGCTTTAGGTCTTTGTGCACCGGTTGTACTGTACGTATTAGTCTTACTCCGAGAGCCTGCTTTGCAGAATAGCCAGAAAAGAGAGTGTTGCTGTGATACTTGCAAACATTAAATGGCTTTGGGCATCTGAATCTCTACCAGCATTTATCATGAAGGAAAATGCAGAAGCGGCTAAAGAGGCTGTCCTTTCATCTTGATACTGCTGCACGGTGCTGAGGTGAAGGTGGTATTGGCAGCTAACATGATTGTCCAGGTCTGCAGGTTCGCCCTCAATCTAATTGAGCACATACCCTGCAAGCTGAGTCTCAATACCAACATTCAGGTAGATCATTTCAAAATTTTAACAAAAAAACTTTTGAGCAAAAAAAATATAGTACTTAAGACTTCATGCACTATAGTGCTTTTTTTAAAACAAATGTCTTTCTTATTGTTAACATTAGAGATGTAAAAAAAAAAACTAGTAACACTGGATTAGGAGTTGCAAAGTCCACACATAAATAAAGCATGAATCTATTTACTAGTGTAAATTACACCCCTACCTCTAACCCTCTAGTGTAGCCCTTGGATTTGTTTTGTAGAAGGTAGCTTGTTCCATCAGTAATACATTATAAATGTGTTAACAGTTAATTTATCCGTTTATAAACTGTAATTTTGCAACTCATTAAACCAAAGTGTGACCAAAATCTTTAATACATGCTTTTCTTTGTATCTACGGAATAAATTACATCATAATAAAAGTTATGTGGAGTTTCATATGCAGCCAAAGGATATCTAGTGACTTGTCTACTGCCAGTGGCGGCATTTGTCATCTCCAGAACCTTTTGCCAGAAAACTGCAAATTTGAGCTTTAAACTCACCTATTATTTTAATAATTGAACACAGATTTGACCAGATGAAGTGAAATCAACCAGTGCATTCTATACAGCAGCCAGTGCTGGCTTTCGCCTTTGCCAAGTCTGAGGTATCTTACATTTCTAAGCAACTGGAGTTTTATTCTAGACAAGTTTTGGACCTCTGACATTCTGCTTAGGGCCTTCCTTAAAAGTTCCTGGTTTGAAATGTCTTGTTTCAAAGCATTGATCTTTTAAATTTCAAAGTGATGTGTAGAAAAGTCCAGGTGACCCTTAGGGAATCCAGATCTAAGAGACCTGCTTTATCAGGTTAAATAGAACCAAAGTCTGCCATCAGAACAACAAATTGTCAAGCTGTTGCCACCATGCAAGTGTAATACGTCTACATTGCCGTCTCATTTCTTACCCAGAGCAATTTATTTTACCCTACATAAAAGAGGAGGAGAGGTATTTTTTAAGAATTCCAAAAAAAGAAATAAGATTCCATTTTCTCTTTCTGTTCTCACTGACCCAAAGAACATAAACAGCAGTTAAAGAGATAAGAACTCCTAAGTAGCTTAGATGCTCTTTATGGGTTTAACCTTCACGGACCTTTCCTAGGAACAGCCTCAATGACAATAATTGTCTTTCTGACGCAGCGCAAAAGGATTGAAAGGGGAAAGACGTACATCCTGCACGGCACGTCCTGCAGTGCCCTTCCCACTGCCACACATACTGGGTATCCATAATCACTGTGGTAGGTCCCAATATCAGTGCCAGGCACAATGCCAACACAACAGGGGCTACAGATAAATCACACAGTTGTTTTAACACAGCAGTGGAAACCTTAGTACATGCAACTCCACATCTGTATCCCACAGCATCAGAGTAAATAAAGCTTTAGACCATTATTATTTTAGCTACAATGGCAGTGAAGTTTTTCCACTTACAAACCCTTTGTTTTACTGCAATTTGTTTTGCCATTATGTTAACTATTTAGACTTAAATATACTTACTTAAGTATATGGGTGTCCACGTTTTTAGGCTACCAACAATAGGCTTGCAAAGAATCACAAGAAGCTTCTTCCCTTCTTGTGACAACTGGACCAAATGTGATTTAAGATACTTTCACTTGATCCTTTTCTATGTCTCAATTCTCCTCTTTAGCTACAGCAGTGCTGCTACCTGGGGAACAGCTGGTGCCTATGTAAGAAAGTTAAATTAGGTTAGTCTGTCAGGAGATGCTCAGTTATTCAATCGCCTCCAACACAGTCAGCTTCTGAAGGTGACACACAAAGGTGTTGAATGACCTATATATTAGCTGAAAATTGTGCTGATAGATTTAGAACAGAACTGGGATAATGGTAGACAAATGCAATCCTCAACAGGACACACACAAGGATAATTGCAAAGTTTGACATTTTGAACGTGAAAAGATTTTAGTTAACCAAGCCATTTTTGTTTTGTTTTTATTTTTTTACAATATAGTACAGTGTACTCATTTATACAAGAATTCACATATTAACAAGTCAGTTTATTACATGTAATAATTTATCCTCAATACTGGAAGCATGTCACAGAACATCTGGGGAAAGGGCGAGTTACAATACAAGGGGAACATGCCAAATGAATAATAAGACTGCAGAATGTAAAGCTGTATTTTAGAAAAAGATGGGGGGGGGGATTCAAACCAGGCTAAGTATTCCTGTCTGTAAAGATAACATATTCTTCAAAGTTTTGTCTCATTCCTGCAAGTCAGCAAAAACTAAATGGATCTGCTGAATAACAGTGACAGGATCACAAGTGTGGTCATGAAAAAAGGCAAGAAAAAAAACATACAGGCAGCATGTTCCTGGGTCTGATGTTTAAGGAGGGCTGAAGTTCCAACCTGAAGTGTAAGCTTAAAGTATAAATAGCTTTAACAAACCAAACTTGCAGGAAGAACAAAAAAAAAAGGGAAAAATCTATACACAAAAAGGATACAGTTCAACTACAATTATGGGTGGCTGCTCACACACCGAGAAATTGAGGCACATGAAGAAGAGCCACCTCTGAAACACCGCCTAGAAAAGTAACAACATATTACAGAAAACCTACGTTATACAATGTTAACCCATTTACATCCCAGTTAATGAAGAAGCGCTGTACTTTTAGCTAGTAGTGGGAGGATTCTGACTGTACGTTAATATAGCTAGGTGTTGCTGCAGATTTAATTTCAAGCTGCAGATTGATTTACAACCCAAACACTCAGATGTGTCCCATAACTTACACTGCTGGCAAAATATATTTATACATTGCTCCGGCAGAGTAAAATAGGCAACCTCATGTGTATGGGCTGTTGGTACAAGAGTGATAGAGAACAGGGGGCCAGGGGACAAACTTAATAAAGCCATGACCTTCGAACAGATTTTGAGCAATGGGAATTTTAGAGATTGATCATAAGTACTCATCTTATTCTGCCATCACACTCCACAACACTTAAGTTTAATTGAAAAATGGATTATAAAGATGATTCAGAAATAAAGAGGGCAAAATAAAAGTAGGAAAACTGAAAAGGGGAGAAAATTGTAACATGGAGGTCTGCTATACCAATATTTTGAAAACTGTTCCAGAATACACTCTTAAAATACATGAAATTCTCATAAAATAAACACCAACAAAACAAACTTGCGAACCAGGATGAAATCTGTTGAAGATATGAGACATGCTTTTCAGATGTAGGAGTAAAATTTGCTCTTTAAATAATTTCCCTATCCAATCACAAAATAAACATTACAAAAGTTGTTTACAATTTATGTGGGAGATCACCCATCACTATGCACAATAAAATGAATTTACTTAAATACCTAAAGATACAAACAATATCATCTCATGAAATGTAAACATTCAAGAAAGCCACACACACACAAACAAGCATGTTCCATGTTCTCAGGGGCGTCATGAACTGGACTCTTTTCATTGCACTAGTTACCTGAACTACTCCAGCTCCCAAACTCTCAAGCAGAGACGGGTTTTTCACATACTAGCAGATTCTAGTTAAATACGGAAGACTGTTACCTTTCATACATTTAAAACGTTATACTTCCCCCAGGAAATCTCATTCTGCAAACGATAATTTATGGGCAAACATTTTTACACCTTATAGACCCAGTCTTTCTGTGCTGTTTACATAGGACTGCTATAATTGTAATAAACTAATCGGTGGATCATTAATTTGTTCTTATAAATCTTGACCCTTATTTACTCTCACTTTTAGTTGCAGTGAAATTAAAGTGAAATTGGGCTCTTTAAGCAAATTTTATAGTTAATTTTAGGAAGAGAGGCTTTATATATTTAGAAACACAAGATTAAATTAGAATTAGCTATGTGAGATCAAACAGACCTCGATGATCTCCATTTCTAAATCATTTCTGTTGTGTAACCTTTAATAAAATGAAACTGCACCTTGATTCATTTCTCAGAAGTAATTCAATTAAATCCTTCTCTGATAGAACCAGTTTACAGTAGTTTTTGAGCTTGGTGCAAAGTTGCAAAAACCCCTTGAAATGTTATTTAGAAACCAGCACAGAGAGCATCAACAAATTCCGTTGGAATTCAGGTCAGGTGTAGGGGTGAGTTCGCAGTACAATTCAACACTTACTGAATTTGTTAAACGCTGAGGCCTTGTGCTAAAAAATTGTAAAACTGCACTTAGCACAGGCTGTCTGATTGTTATAGCCAATTCATGATAGTGTGAACTGCTGCATTCCTAATCTTAACAAAAAACATCTTAAACTCCTATTATATGGTAAACAACCCCCCATTATAGGCAAGTACATTAAAGTATGCTGTAGCCCTGTAATTTTAGCTACATTCAATGACCAGTACATTTCCAAAATTGGACTTTTCTTCAAGCTTGCTTATTTGTGAAAACGTTTGCAGTCTAACAGCAGGTACTTTATTTTCAAGACATCACAAAATCACTTTGTATTTCTGTGGGCTTTATAAGCAGCAAATTACTGTTATGCTGTACATACCTCCTTAGGGAAGTGTCCATTAAAAATAGATGACATTAAAAAATGTATAAAAGGTAAATCACAGGCAGAACAGTTAGGTAGATATAGTGATGCTGAGGCCTGTGTAATATGTCTTACAAAACTATGCAAAAAATTGGATATTTAATGCTCTTCATAAGAACAAGAAATACAAGACCTCCAATGAAGTTTGATGTTTCAAAGATTCTGAACACAGAATAAACAGGTATCTCTTAGATGCTGCTGATGCAGAAATGCACATTCAGCCTCACAAACCAACAGGGCTCTCTTTAATGAGAAAAACATACTAAGCAGAATGACCTGTAGGGCCTAGGTTCACTTTCATGAACATAAGAAATTTTTTATACTTTGTTTCTTTATAGAACTAAATGGAAAAACAAAATTACAGATATCTTGTCAGCTTTTCTAGTATTATCTGAATTAGGTTTAGATGCGACAAGAAAATTGTGCTTGCTCAATATCAATTGTTCAGTTTAAAATAATTCAACAGAAAAGCAACATACTAAATTAAAAATAATTTAATATTCCATTTGAATAAACATGAATTAATTATTTTTATGGAAATAAAGATTAATCCATTCGTCTCTGCTGTATTGATGCCAAATAGCATGGCTAAATTCTTTCACTACATTAAAAAAAAAAAAGACTGTTGAAGATGGAAACTGAAGGAGCAGCCCCCTGAATTTAAAACAAAATCCAAAGACAAACAGAAATGCTACTTGCATTCATCAACGCACAGACCTAGATGTTGTTGAGGGAAGTGGGTGGACTACAGGAAGCAGAGGCAGAGCCTGGCTGTCAAGAATACCTCTCTTTCAAGTGACCATGGCCTCTGTGCATCAGTATCCCCTTGGCTAAACGGGGCAAAGTCCGTCTATCTGTCTGGCTCTGAGCAAGACTGGGCAGTCCAGTCAACTGCCAAGTGAACGGCTCCACTGGGCAACGGGCAGCCTACAAGTGCTGCCAGTCAATGCCCACGAGGGTCTGGTTGGCCTCTTGAGCGTGGCCTATTTCTTCTGTGACACTGTGCTGCCGCCACAGCTTCTGGATCTTGCGGTAGCGCTCACGGCAGAGATGAAGAGGATTCCCTCGTCTGCGAAGGAAAGCAGGTCAGAAATGAGGAGCTAGCATAATGCAATTGGCCTAATTAGAAACCTTGATGGGAAATGTAGTGACATTTCCCATCAGTGACGGCTGTAGTTCCTAATTCACTGAATGTGTGCAGTAAAAAAAAATCATGATGACACTGGACCTTCTATTATCGTTTGCAAAAAGGGCTGAATTGCTCATTTTCATCTGCACCTTCATTTTTTCCCCAATTTCAATGAGAAACTTAATCATACTTGGGAGACAGAAATGATACAAGTAGACAATACAATTACATAATCCAACGTGGATACTGAAAAGTTAACTTTCACCAAAGTACTAAGTGGAAGCAAGGACCTGTAAGCACACGTATACACATTTCACAAGCCTGTTTTGCCTTCTGAAAGGAGATGTTTTTAATCTCACTTAGTAGAATGTAAAAGAAAAGGCCAGGAGGAGCCTCACCTAAGTCCCTGATCTGTCTCTCCATAGTCATCCAGGTAAGGCGGGGCGTAAAAACATCCCTTCGTCTTACCAGCGAGGAACAGCACCTGGCTCTCCCGTACTCTGAAATGGCCATTAGAACATTAATGCAAGACACCGCTATTGAAAGACAACAATAAAACAGTCCGTCACTTTCAGGAAACAGAGACCTAATGGACTGATGACTCAGCATTAAAGGCTCTGATTTATGTCAATACTCATCCAGGTAAGCGGGCTCTCTCTCTCTACAGTTCGGTTGAGGAGAAGAATCTGGTTTTACCTAAGAAAGATGCCAACTCCAGCTCCACAGGTGAAGGTGTGAGCTGTGCAGGCCCCCACATCTTCCCCCTCCAACTCCGTCTGGCAGCAATAGCTCTGAGAGCAGAGCATGGTGCCACACACCAGACACAGTGTGGGTGCTCGGCTCTTGTCTCCACCAGACTTTGGACACCTACAAAACACCGCCACACATACACATACATTACTTAGCGGAGGCTCAGTTAAAACAATGAATGTAAGATAAGATTCAAATGTCTGCAATCAATGATCACCCAAAGGAAAAAGAACTAGAACGTTTTTTTTTCTAATAAGCTGTGCAAAAACAATTTAATAAGCCTTAAATTTATACGCTGCTATTTACCTACAGAAAATAAAGGCAGCGAGATTTGCACACTGTACACACAGTTGCTACGATGAAGTCAAATCAAAATTAAGATGTCCTAAACAACAGGAAAAAACAGTGTAATACAGAAAAACCACTTACGTGAAGCTTGATGCCTGATTGATAAGAGAGCTGTAATCATCTGGAAGATCTATCAGTCGATTAGACTCACGGGGGTAGCTGGGTAAGGAGGGAAGAAATACCATGAATTCCAATCGGTGCACAATTTACTATTTTTACCCTTCTTGGCTTTCCTGTCAATGGTCATGTGTATTTACCTCTATCTACCCAGTTCCAAAAATATGGAGGGTTGAAGGGTCCATGCATACCAATATTGTTTAAAAGCAGCTTCTGAAATACTGTCAACAAAAAAACAATTCCTAATGCAGTAACTGTGCTAACCTTATAAGAGGAGTGCTGCTTTGTAGATAGTTTTGTATACTGGAGTGAGAGCACCACCTGGAAGAGAAGGATAAATCAGACTATTGGTAAGTGATTTCTGGTACTTTTTTGACACAGAATTAAGAGAAAGATGGAGTGATTAAAACAATGTACTATAATTAGAAAGGTAAAGTTTTAATTATATTTTAGAAATAACAAAAGGAAAAAAAAACATACAAAAAATACTTATCACTTAGTTCTAATTCAAGTCGATAGAACACTTGACCAGTGCATTTACATACCCCTGCAAGAGAGGGTCGTAAAGCTCCCTGTTGGCGTGGTAGAGCTGGAAGGGGTTGGGCGGTAGACAAAGATACCCACACAGCTGTTCAAACTGGCTGGACCCAAGCACTAGACATACACAAATGGAAACAGCAGGAAGTACAAGCAGCGTTAATGAAGAAACTTTGTTAAAAATGCAACTTGCTATTTAAAATTTTTAACTCCCCCCCCTCCACCCTCTTTAAATCATGTTTTTCATCTACAGTATATACTGAAACAACAACAACAATTTGAGTGCTGTGGATTTACCAGTAGTCATGCATGTGAACATCATTCCACTATTCGGGTATGACGAGAATTACCTTGGAGCTCTACAGGAGGAGGCACCCCATTGAGGTAATGGAAGAACACCGCTGCCCCACGCAGGTACGGCATGAGGCCAGCCTTTACACAGTGCCACAGGTGCCAGCCTGAGAGGTCTTCCCTTAAGGCACTGCAACCAATAAAGACATTCAATAGTGTTTAGTAAAACTAAATTCTCAGTGTTAGCCACTCCATTGCCTTAATCTTGGTCTTTGTCAAAGTGCACGTAGGTCATTAAGTGCAGGAAAAACATCAAGAATGACCAGAAAAACCAATCCTCCAACCACAGACCTTAGTCAATAAAAAGAAGGTACTGAGTATTTATTAGGGTAATAAATGAGAATACAAGAGCCCCATTAGAGCCCTAAACAGCTCCCCTTACCTTCCCAGGTGCAACCGGAGAACACTGTACAAGAAGCAGGCTGCCGATTCCTCCTCCCCTGAAGCATTCTCCTGGTCCATTGATGTCTCTGCTGAACACGGCATGTCACAATCAAAATCAAAAGGAGACTAATCAAAAGGAAGAGTCTGCACAATTATAAAGGTATTTCATTTGGGAGGGCATAACCCATATAAAAACAACCTATGATTGTAACTACTAATGACATTGGATGAATTACTGTAATGTGTATGTTACTGCAAAGTTCCAGCATACAATGAAAGATTCACAAATGACATACGACTGAGTAATTCTTTCCTACCTGGCACAGATGTGAACAAGATCTGGACAATGTGTGCCACAGTCACTAGATGAAAAATGTGCAGCTGCGCCGTGTCCAAGCTCAGCCCTGAGGAGTCCTGGCAGTGCAGCGCCGGGTACGACAGCACTAGACTGACCTACAGGCACACACAGCATTAGTGTACTCACAACAACAGGCCAGTCTCCCATAATGTCAAAAGTAGGAACAAACTTACTATACAAGTGAAAGCATGAATACAAGAACATAAAGGTTACTTTGTACTGAAGATATTTAACATGAAACAGTTTGCTCTGGAAATATTACAGTTCTTTTCAAATCATCAGGTTTTAAATTTTGTTTTGTGGCATACTCACCAGCAAGTGGAGCATGTCTATGTCAAGAATACAAGGGGTGTTCTCCACCTGATCATCTGGAACTAGAGCTGGACACAAACAGATCATTAAAGAATTAAAGTCATCATATATTGTTTTAAATTAAAACAAGGTTTCTAGGGATATTTTATGGTTTAACAGATTTAGATCTGCATTTTCAAGTCATTTTGTCTCGGTACACTGAACACATCCACAACTTTACGGTCCTATACCACAACACTTTAATAACATTTCCCAAATTTCATAAAATAAAGAAATAAACCCACCTGCTAACAGTCTGAGGAAGTGGTTCTGCACCACAGTGAGAGAGGAAACTGTCCAGCATGCAGCCCCAAATCTCGTCAAGGATCTCAAACAGTCATCCTGAAGAGGATTATATTACAGGTTATGATATGAGTAACCAATTAATGAAATTTAACACCAGTATTGGCATTAAATGCTCATGACGTTGCATGTTACAAACTCATGCATGAAAACATGCTGCCATTCCTGACTAACATCTTAGCAAAGGAGTTATGAATAAATAGGTGACTTGAGAAGCACTGAAATAATTTAATAGCAGATAAAATCATAATTAATCTTTTAAGGATTTAAATGTGATTATGAAAAGTAATTGATACAGAAGTCGTGAGAGACGGAATGTCCAAGCTCACCTGTCTGCAAGGCAGACTTCCAAATAAAGGCTTCTCCTCATCAGCTAACAATCTCTCTAGGGAAAAAAAATGAGAACATTGTTTAAACAGATATCAGCAAACATGTTCTGGCTTTTTAAAAACTTAGGCATAGTAAAAGGAGACTTAAATGCAAACCTGAAAAAGAATAAGCTCTCATACGTCTACTAGAGCATCTTGTAAATTATTAGCTTGCTTCCAGAGCAAGTAGTATTTAACCATTTCTGAACATTTTTATTGACAAGAAAAACTCTGGAAAGCTAAAAAAATAAAAGGCTTTGAGACTAGAATTCCCAAAAAGACTGATTCTGGTTCAACAGAGTATAGGATTCATTTTATTGTTGAAGGAATTCTGAATTGTGCTCAAGCACATGGGACAATTCTCATTTTCAAATTATAATAAAAATTACTCATTAGTCAAGGATATTTTTCTAAGCCCAAAGTTGATCTTTTAAGACCCTGAACCCCGTACATTGATACCAAGAGAGGCGGATATGTCAGCTGTTAGCAGCTGTTAGGATTAGTGGTGTACAGGACCAGGCTTTTCCCTAGGGTGGACTTACCAATGGACTGGATAGTGTAGGCACAGCTGCCCCAGCACATGATAGGCACGCGGGGGTCCTGCTCATTAGGATGGACCTTAAGGCCAACTTTGTAGGTTGCTGTCCCAAATGTGGTCAGCATTTCCTTAATGCTACCTGAGTAAGGGTTCCTACAACAACATAAGATCACAAAAAGAAACCATGGTAAAAAAGCACGTTAGCTTTTGGATACTTGATCAAGACGGCAACTGTTCCTGTTCCTTTAACCTCAATGGTGAAAACTTTCCGCTGTCACACTGTTAATACGACAAACATCTCTGCCATTGCTAAACTAATTCACACATAACAGTTTAACAAGCATGACAACTTAAACCTGCAAGTGCCGATTCTTTCATAAATCTTAGCAAGCTGCCATTAAAATCCTGTACCCCATAAAAATCAAAAGCAGTGAAACATTCAACTTCTACCTTAAAACTGCGAGGTTTCATTCCAATCATCACAGCCCTTTTGCAACAGAATTACAGAATCCTGTTTATGAAATGGTGCTTACATAGGAATCAGGTCGGGTCTGAATCCCTCTGAAAGCTGATTCTCATCCATTCTCTCTCCATCATCAGCCCCTGGACTACCTGTTAAACACCAGTGTTGGTTAACTGCCAAAAACATTTCAACAGACAGCTTAAATATTTTGCTCCACTATCATTTTTAGTGAAAATGTTTCTAGTAGCATAAATTGCTTTTTTGACATGTATTTGTTACTGCACTTACATATAAATCAGGTATGAAAGATACATTTTAAAATACAGTTTAATAAAAGAAGCTTTTTATGGTAATTAATTGCAGGATAAGGAACAGAAAATAAAAGCTACCTACACAGTAGCTCTAGCATTTTAATAATGCACATATATTTCCATATTTGCTACTTTTAATTTCACTCACTACTGCTGAATTACTTCTTCATAAATGTAAAAATTTCAGCATTTATAAAGCATAAGCATAAGAAGCTTCACACAGTCTGATCCCAACTATAAAAAACAAATGTTTAAAACCAAGACAAATCTGTGAAAAAAGGATAATCTTAAAAACTTACTGGATGAGTCCTGTTTTCTCCGCAAAGAGTGAAGAGCCGTTATCTGCCAGGATACTGTTTTAAGCCACTGGCTCAGGTTGGGTTGCTCTGCCGAACTAAAAGAAAAACAAAGCAAACTGTAATTGGAAAATAAATGGTTCAGTATTATTAAAATGCAGTATCACCACTTATTCGTTCTTTACACAACACCCGCTTTGGAAATGGGCTCATGAAGCACCAGCCATAGAGGTAATAATTATGCCGTGCTTAAAACAGTGCAAGCACACAGAACCGTGGAAAATCTGTTGTGTGGCAAATGCAGGACACTAGAGTACTCCAGCCCACCTGAACACAAAAGTCAGGTCAGTTGTATGCTACTGCTTAAGAATCCTTTTCAAAGTTGGGAAATAAAGCAAGGATTCAAAATCATGATTTCAAGACTGGGTTCATACTGCTCTTCGGTACTCTGTGATATACCTTATATTTAATCCTTTTCCTCCTGTTATGCATCATGACCTAAATGTTTGTCACAAAGGAAGGCACGTTATACAATGTAATGTGAAATGTAATGGGTATTTCCTGCTGGACACAACATAACACCTTTAAAAAGATCTCTTAATTTAGTTATATAGATTATCAATGGACAAAATTAGTCACACAACCTAGTGCTGGTAATTGGTGCACAGTTGTGCAGTATGAAGATAAGAGGTTCTGAGTGAGCCTTTGCCCTTTAGAGGGCTGTGGAATAGTAATACTGATAAAAGAAACATCTAGGAATCGCATGAGGCTGAAGGAGTTGTATCTCTAGTTGGATCTCCTTAGGAAGTGCCTTGCTGTTCAGGGCAGCTTTCAAGTCTTCTAATCTGTCAATTAAACCTTTTACTTACCTCCTGCTGAGTTTATCCAGAACTGACACGAACACTTTAGCTTCAACCTTAAGAAGCATTTGGACGCGAGCCCAGTAATAATTTTACTCCCTTAAGACATAAGCTTCAGCTCAGGTAAATGGCAGCGCATGACAAATGAATCGATATGATTCATCAAACATATTCAATTCAGAAACGCAAAATTCAATTTTCCAAGTCGCCGTCTCTTTATGAATTCCGAACTTCTGTATGTGAAGAAACTGTCTGTGTATCTGCTGCCTGGAGGAAAGAAGCGGGTTCATGAAGTGTTGCTGGGGTTCGCCTTTACCTGCTGCAGCTCCTAGACAGGGGCAGGAGAGGTATGACGGTGTTGCTCAGACATTCACACAGGGGGCACAGGAACTCGCCGTTCTCCACGTCATAGCTGGTGTGCACTCGCAGGCGCTGCTGCCGCCTCTGCTCCTTCGCCTGCACCGCCTCGAAGTACCTGTGAAGATGTCGGGACGGCCCGTCACACCAACACTCACACCGCAGAGCAGTCAGGTGTCGAAGGGCCTCATGAAAATCCTGAAGGGCTGGTAACCGTACTTTCAAAGGATTACTTTTTTGTACATACAGTCAATGTAACATTGTACAAATATAAATGGAAAAACATTCGAAATGGTCTACTCTTCATGTGCATCTGATATTTCCATTCCATCAGCATATACCTATAATTAGTTCTGTATTCTTTGAATATGAAGTACGCATCGCCCTTTTCTTAAGTTTAGCCATCCGTTTATCTGTTCCGCTCCTCTTTGTACCTGTTTGTTCTCCCATTACTTTTTAAGAAACAGCAGGTCTGCTGTACGGATTAAAGTTCTATAGTAAAAACCATGCTTCAGTGCTAGAGATCAGTACTCACCTCTGCCAGCAGTGTGAGTGCATTATGTGTCCACAGCTCCCAGTGTGAGTACCAAAGGACAGGTCAGGGTGCATGAACAGAGGGTCGTGTGTTTCTAAGCACAGGAGACAAAATGTTCAGCTCTTTCTCCCGAGACATACGTTGAACGACGTCTTGTTGACCAAAGTTGTAGTCTGGAATTGTGCAAAGCGTTTCTGATGTCCGATTCATCCATTTTTGTTTTTCACAAAACATATGACATTTATTTTCTTCATATACTCTGAAATGCTACTTAAACACTTTGGTTTTTGCTTGTTCATTAAACATGAATTTTAATGGGATATTACATTTACTGTAATTCAATATAATGCAAATATTTTGCCTTCATCCTTTTAGAAATGTATGGGCCAAATCACTTGCAATTCTCTTGGCTACCTTTGGGGTTCTATACATTGAAAATGCAGCCAAATTAAAACATTTAAGAGAAATGTACTTGTCATCTCAGCAGCAATCTTTGTAGCTGCTTAAAACAACACTATCTGTGCTGTTTATTTTCCAATTGCCTTTCCTTTAAATGGTAATGAGTGGTAAGGGCCTTAACTGCATCCAATTTATTGCCCTTTAAATAGAACTTTTATTAACTAGTGATTTAAATGTATTTATTACTATATACTACATACAGCTTCATTCCATTGAAAAGAGCAATTACCTGTAAGTTTAATTTAACTACTGGGGAAAACAAATCCACAACCATAAAAGTACCCACTATAAGAAAAAGTTGTAAAACTGCACACATTAAATGCAAGTTAAATTGGAATTGAAGATAAATATCACCTATAAACTTTGTCAACACCTTGTTTCATAATTAACAGAGCTTAAGTTGGAAAGTGGGAGACACTATTTGGCTCATCTATTTTGCATGCTAGTGGCCAATTAATTCTGAGTATTGCATGTAGCAAGTTATTGAAAGAAAACACATTATCAGGTATGGCAACATAGCTGGATGGCTTGTTCCAGCTGTTCAAATTAATCTGGGGGCAAAGTTACATATGGGTTTACTGCTGTGCCACAGTAATTCTAAAGTTAACTAATCCCCTTGAGTAAAAGTGTTTCCTGTTCTGAAATTAATGTATATTGTTGTTGATTCCAGTCTTGTTTTGCTGCCGATTTTCAAGTCTGTTAGAACCCTTTGTCCTTGTGGTGTGGGGTATTTAACTTCCAAATATACATTCCCTTCCAACTAAACTGTCCAATAAGCCAGAAGATAATAAGAACAATGTAGGAATAGTATCATTTGTTAGATAAATTATTTCTACTCTTACAAAATATGCATTAAAATTTTATTTACGGAAAGAACAACCTGAAAATTACAAGATTATACTCGATCTTTTCTTCTATTTCAGCAGCATTTCTCCTTTTTCTTGATTAAACTAAACAGAAAACATTTATAACAAGATGTGATTCTCTCAGTTTAAATACCATAGTTCTACTTCTAGTTTACTCTGAAACTGAGAAGAGAGTCTGTCATTCTGTACTAATCCATCCGTAACGGCTTAGACTAAGTATTGCTAAGTAATAGTGGTACACTACTAACGAAATAAATACTTCAACATACAAATGAAATAAAGAACAAGTTTAAGATATTTTCTTATACACTACAAAGCAACGTCAATAGTACAAAGTTGGATGAATTGAGGCATGGAGCACTGATGAGAGCTTCAGCTCTCTTACCGGGATCATGGAACGGCCTCCTCCTGTTTTTGGACATTACAGTGGAGCGCTGCACAAAGGCCGCCAGCACCATGGCTCTGCTATCTGCCCTGATGTCCTGCTCCTCCTGGCACAAGATACAAGTCACCACCTGCCTCTTCTCGCTGACCCTGGTCCGGCGGGGACCTACGCACACCAGGGCAGTATCCGGGGAGGTGGGGCTGGAAAGGAAGAGGTACCAGTGAGACAAAAGCAAATGCCTTTTCATAAGAGCTGAACAAAGGAAGCAAAACACAGACATGAGATGTATGAGAACTGCCATGAGTCACATCATATTGCAAAGTCAATGTCCATCTCTTTAAAGGTCTATTAAGGCAGGCATTCTAACTCTGCATTGTAAACGTGTCTGCTACTGCCTTCAGAAATGGCCACCTGTGCTCCAGAGCTGCAGATGTTGAAGCCTCAAGTTCTTCTAGGCTCTGCTGGAATAGCTCCTTGTTCTCATTGATGAAATGTCGTTGCATTTCTGACATCTGGGCCATGATCTTTTCCCTGCGCAGTCGAGCTATCTCTGCCTTGCGTTTCCTCTCTGCTTTATCCTTGTCCCGCACCATCTAAACACAGAGATACAATATTACACAAACAAAGGGGCAGTGTCTAGTCATAGTGATTGATAAGAACATAGTTAAATCTTAAAACAAGATGGATGTTGAATTTAATTTGATAGTTGTCCTAATGAATATTAGAATATCAAACCTCAAAAACACAAAAAGATCAATTATATACACCAGACAAAATACATATAGTTGAAATATGCTAAAGTATATACATTTGAAACAATTTAAGACAAGAACTAGAATACTAATCCGTTGGCTAACGATTATTTTTATACTTTTCTCATCCATACTTTATTTTGCTAACATTTTATTATTCTCAAAAAAATGTCTCTCTCCCAATGGTAATATTTACCTCCTCAATGGTCTGCCCTCCTGTTTCAGACATTGGACTAGGAGTAGTCTGCTCACGTATTTTCTTTATGTTGCTATAAGTCTACAGGAAAAATGATCAGCCCTTAGAAACAAATGGCAAATCTACTTTTAACTTTGCAGAAAGATATAATGTGGCATTTTTTTTTCTTTTTTTCCCCCTCTCTGGATTAAATTAATTACAAATGACAAAAATGTATTTGAAAAGCGATGGAAAGAAAGTTGTACCATATACAGTATATGGTGTCTGCAACTGAAAACTGCTTATACCTTAAAGTTTCTATGTATGGAAAAGATGTGTTAGGAATTAACCGTACTTGTCACTGATGAACACCCATGCACACAGCTTCTTTACCCAAAGAAATCAAGCACTAAAAGCAACTTCAAAATCTGTTGCTGTCCTGTGCTGCCACCGTGTGGCTGGGACTGCATTTTCTGCCCTGGTTTTGCATATGGCATGACAGCAAACAATACCCCCAGAAAAGACTGATAATCTTTGTGTAGTAAAAGATACAGAATATTTCACTGATCTAACACGGGTAAATCACAAATGCTAAATTCCTAAAACATGCAAACATTACTGTTGTTTATTTTCAGAATGCAGAATTCATTTAAATACCTTTTCACTTTAGAAATTGAAAGTTTGAAAGTCATACCCTTAGTATCCAGCTTATCATATCCTTATGAACCTCAAGGTGTGCTGCATTCTGGAGGGTCTCCAACATGGCCAAGACACTGGGAGAGTTACTGGGAGCTTCACCTGGACCTTGAAAAAGGAAAGGTTACCAAGTCCTTAACTGAACAACCAGAAATATTTTGGGCAGAATGCAATGCAGAATCAAATCAAGGATATTAGTTTCTTAATGAACCACTTAAATTTGATATTCCAAAGGAAAACTCTCCATTCATATAACAAGCAAATTTAAAATAGCAGTTATTGAATAACATTGCAGACTTAACTACTTAACAGTACATCTGATGAATTAAGGAAAAAGCAATACTGTCTAAGGCACTGAAAATTATTACTGCTCAAACACATGTCCCTGTTGTCTGTGATAGGAATATGAGAACCATTGGACTCACGGGAGATCTTCAGAGTAAAGTTAAAGGTAACATCATTATCCTCAGAGCTGTTCTCCAGCTGCTGTCTCTCTTCTAACAGGGCCATGCCAATCAGGTGCAGCACCTGCCAGATGGAGAACATTAGTGGGCTGCCAGCAGTCAGACTGCACTCTACAGTGAGACTGCCAGAGGTAAGAAGCCACTGAATTCTGACAATGACAGCACCCTTGAAGCACTACAAGATCAAGAATGTATGCTTTCACCTTCGCTATTGTGTAATGAGAATTTTTTGTTACTTTAACAATACTAGTGGCAAGGGCATTAAATGTGAAAAATTGTAAACTGCTTTGAGTAAGGAAATTGGAACGTGGATTGTAAAAGTATCAAAAAATGCAACTTAGAACAATTCAAATGAAGCCTTTTCAAATTGGGGGGAAAAAAAATAAGTACAGAAAAACAAATATAATAAATAATATAATGTTTAAATATTAAAATTTAATAAGAAAAACACTGCTGGATCTAAACATTTCCTTAAGTTTATTTGCCCGTGCTTGTTGCCTGTTACATACGTACTCTCTGCAGCATGGACTCCGACCAGTAACCCCCACTGGGCTCCACCGCCCACTGAAGCACTGTGCTCAGGATGCTCAGAAAGACATCACACTGCAACAGGTTCACTAGGCTGGCAAAAAGTGGGCAAAAGGGAGGCAGAGCAGGAGGAGGGAGAGCTGAAATAGAGAAAAAGAACATCGCTCTCAGTACCACTTCACGTGCCATACTCATTCCCTACATGTCCTCAAATAACATCTTCTCATGGCTTGAAATGACAGAGCCATATACATTCAGTATTTCAGCCGCTGTTTACAAATGAAGATAGCAGAAAATGTTCTCAGGGAATTTACAAAGACTGCCATTTCTGGAGTGTACCTCTGCTTCCACTTATCTTCATTGGCTTTTCACCGCAAGATAAGCAAACAACTATTAAAGTTCTGTTAACTTTAAACAGTTTGGTCTGTAGATATTTTTCTCCATTTCCTAAATTAGCATTTAACACTAAACTTCAATATATATTTGCAATTAGATTTAAATTAGCAGAATTTGAGCACTAAGAAAATAAAATAATTTGAATCTATTGTAAAAATGAAAACCTGAACATACAACTGCTGAAGGGATAAACTGCAAGGGGCTGTGAAAATTACCTGTGTTTTCTCCATTTTGCCTCTTCAGTTTTCTTTGTGCTTCCTCTGCCTATAAAATCAAAGTGAAGTTAATTTGGTAAATAAATTAGATCAATATTCTTAATTAAAGACAAATGTTAACAATTCCACTAGCTTGTTAATTGACGGACAGTTCTACATTGTCTACAGCATTTCATGTTTATAATCTTGTTTTGTTTGCTCTTCAAACTCACACTTTTGCAGAAAGTGATCATAAAAACCTATAGAAATCAGAAACCTACACAATGGGAACATATATGTACCTTGGACTGGTCTGCTCTGGAATAGTGATAGAAGTACAGATTGAACTCTTTGGCACACTCTGGCCTGAGCTCATACAGGCCCCTCCCTGTCACCCCAGGCTTCCTGAAAATACACCACAAGTCAATGGTACCCATCAGGAAAGCATGGCAATGAATTTAATGGAAAAAATAATCAGCCAAGGGCCCTAAAAAGGAAACATACTTGAATGAAGCGACCAATTCAATGACTTTCTCCATTCCCGTTTCTTTGTTCTCCTAAAGGACAAAGAAAGTTTGTTAGAAAGTGCCAGCATGGCTAGGCGCTAACTGCTTGAGCAGCTACTCCCTGTACTTCACATCCAATGACCTATCCGAGTCTTACTGTGCAGTACTGCAGATGGCAACCAAAAGGCACAAGAGTGTGGCATGACAGTACCATTGACACACAATGTAAAGGACTGGTCTAGGACATCAGTAACAATCCAATAATGAAAATATTTGGCAAACTAATATGCTGTTCAAAAAAAGCTATCTAAAGTACGAGCCAAAAACCCACCAGTGTGTCTATTTGTCAAGTGTTTCTTTGAATTCACATCTTTATATCTGTGCTGGAAAGAGAAGAACACTTTCTTCGGGTGTGGCTCCACAGCCGAAACGCTTTTTTTCCTCTTCTCTTTTCAGCATGGAATAAATCTTGACTTGATCCTTTACAGCCTACGCATGCTGACGCAGCGACCTACTTGAACTATCTGTATCTGTGGGCTACTCCCTGATAGAGCAGCTTATCTGTAGGACAGGGCGCTGTGCCCCAGGAACTGCAGCCTAGTACTCACATCCTCAGGCAAAGCCTTAACGAGCTCACTGTGCGCCATGGGCCGGATGCAGAGCTGGTGAATGATCTCCCGTTTGACTTCATCGCACCCCTGCACTTGACCAATTCCTTGAGTAAAACGCTCACCTGCACAAGAAACAGAGAGGTGCGTCTGTCATTTCTCCCCGCATGCTCACAGTAGAAAAGGCCAAAACCATAGCTGCAGCAGGCAGCAGAGTGCACTCCAGAAACAGTCCTAAGGCACTTAGTTTTGATCAGAGAATGATGTAATAAATAAAGGTGCCAAACAAGAAGTTTAAGTAGTATGCTATATGGTGTACAGCGAGACAGAAGTACTCATACAACTGGCCATTATTACAACCTAGACTGATTCTGAATTTGGAAAAAGTATAATCACTTTGCTAAGCAATATGATAAGGAAGAAATTCTTCACCAGGTATAATGCAGCTTACCAACAACCATCATGATGAGGTGTAACATTTCCTCAATAAGCGTGTTGTTCTGCTGTATCATGTCCTGCAAGGAACAAAAAAGGAATCAGTATAGCACCAAGCCATTTTAATAACTAAGCAAACAGATCAAAGCTCTATAGAGCAGAAACTGGAATATTTGTTTAAAATAAAGCAAAATTATGTGAATTACTAATTCACAGCAAAAAAAATAAAGTAGTAAACCATTTACCATTGATTTATTTCTGTGGATATTTTGAAAATATACCACAGAACTGTAATAGTTTGAAAGTAGAAAAAGAGAGAAGGAAGCTAGACTGCTTTGACTGGAAGGTCTTTTCAATCTTGTCTACCACATAGGTAAATTAGACAGGGAAGTGAGTATACATTAGCACATATAGTGGAACAGGAAAATCCAAAGCAGCACAGAGCTCTTAGACTTTGTATTTGCCACAGTGTTATTCTATTTCTACACCTGCTCGGGTAGTTAAGTAAGGAAGTAACACCTTGTTCGTGTTTTCTCTACCATATCTCTTCCCATAGTCAGCAGTACTGAAGATGTGATAGAGCTCAAACCGACTGAGGACAATCATGAGGAAGTGGTTGGGATCCATCACTGATGCACCTGCCTGAAATTCAAAAAAATATTTTAATTAAAACTGATAAACACAAGGGAGTAACTATGATCACTACTGACCAGTTCAGGACATTCTGCTGTACTTTCAGCATGCATCTACCATTGATTCCTTCATTTTAGAAGCTGGTTTACCTGGAGCATCATGAGGTCCTTGTCAAACATCTCTACCCTGCATTTCACATTGTGATAGTAATAAATCTGGAAGAAAAACCACACAGGAAAGTGTTGAAACAAAAAAACGTACTCATTTAGCAGATGTTGCTATCAGGTCAAGATGCCAAGATGCAAATGGTGCATACAGAAGCAGTTCCCAATTTAAAAATGAACACTGCATTCAAAAGCATTTACAACATTATCATTCGTGTTCTTCTCAGCATTTTTTATACAATTTGCAGCATTCTCATGCATTAATTCAAATACGAACAAAATATTTAAAATTACAAACCAGAAATTATATAAATGGATTTGTTTGGGAAACTATAATATTAACATTTGTATCAGGCACCTTTTACAGTTGGTTTGAATTATAATATGATTCAATATAAAAGGTTTTTAAACAGAGTAAGAAAGCAGAACTACAATCTGGTTTTATGAAGTTAAATCTTCATAATATCCATCATTTAAAGAGTAAATTTTGCTATGGTGAACAAATTTAAAATGACAGCTGAACAGGGGACGTATTAACTCAGTGTAATGTGCAATCAAAACATAACAGGAACAGACATTAAAACGAACTAAAAGCTTATTTACATCACATTTATTAACACTGCTGGTAATTGTCTCAAAGCCCGCTCTAGATCCTTTCTTTTTATTGAGTGGCAAAGCTGAAGTGCTACCACACTGCCAGCCTTTCCTGGTGCTCACCTGATTGACCAGCGAGAAGCCATTTCTCCTCCACATGCCGGCATGGACCTGCGCACAGAGCACCAGGCAGCGCAGGGGATGTTCGATCAACATGGGTGGACTCAGCTCGCTCTGAGAGGCAGGAACAGATACCGCGTTATTCTTAGAAACTGTAATAATGCTTAAACATAAGCAGTTAGGGCTGGCAAAATTCACCTTTGGAAGCTGCAATGGGAAGAATTAAATGAAAAGGTCGCTTTGAAAGGAAGAAGGCACCATATCGAGGTGTTGGTTTTCAGCCACATTGCAGTAATTTTGTTTGCTGTACAGGTCCTTCATTCTCAACAAACCATGCCATTACAATCTCAAACCATACTGTAAAATGCATATTACTTTTTAAAGTTTTCCTTAACTTAAAAGAATATATACAGTCCCTTGTAAAAAAATTACTTACAAGAGGTAACTGCTCAGGAAATCTGTAAGCCACTTCAGTTCTGCTTAGAAGAACATGCAAACCTGGAAAGAAATAGGAACAAGAATTTAGGGCAATCTTTTAAATGTCCTGTAGTGGAGATCTGAAAATGATTATGGGATGGCTATTCAGTGAAATACTGAATTAGGCTGCTTGAGACTTACCTGCCAACAGACGGGAGACAGGCAGGTGGATGCTGACCTTCTCCTGAGAGACACAGTATCTGATTGTGTCAACAGAGTGGCCACACATGCTCAGAGTGATGGGCTGCTCCCCATCTGCGAAGCCACTGTGACAGTGCATCAGTGAGATCAGGCACTTTTTGTAAGCTTCAATCAGGACCTTCTCCTGAACAGCCAAAAAAAAAAAAAAACAACAGATTACAGGATAAAGGCTGACTTTATTGTCTCTAATTCACAATTATTTGCATTGTATATGAACAGCAGCTTATGAACAAGCATGTTATATTCAAATTTAAAATGATGTTAGAGGCAGCTGAGGCGGTGGGAAAAAAAACGGTGGGAACTGAACAAAGTCGACTGCAAAGTCAAACCTTCACTTACATCTCTTGCACACCACTCCTGCATCATCGAAATGATATGAGTCAACTTCATTTGCAGTGTGAAGGCAGCTTCCCACTCGGGCTCCATTTCAATGTGCTGTCCAACCTGGCGAACTACAGGATCCATGCCCTAAGGATGACATCAAATAGGCCTTTTCTTCTTTGCTAATTTTAAATCGATGCCTTCTGGAGTCCAACCAAAAAGATTTAATTCATGGTATAGGATAAACGTCACAATCGCCCATATTCAAACAATTTACCTGCATGCACTTCAATAGCTCCAGGAAAGCATCAAATCCTTCAAGGAACTTCTCCCTGAGTTGATCGCTCCACTCCGATGGCCGACTGATTAAAACATACCTAAGAAAACCACAACAATTCATATGTTTCCCTGAGGAAATTACTTTGATTCTGAAGACTGTATCTGTGAGTAAATCAATTGTTGATGAAACTAAGTATACAGTAAACAAAACCAACAGTATTAATGGCTTTATATGAGCACCGTGAAAATCTAGTGTTCTGATATTTGCATCGTGCAGTACTTAGAAAGAACTTTTCATACAATTGTTCTTATTTAAGCCATAGCTAACCACTGCAGCACTGGCAGCAATGTTTCTAGAAATGCCAAAGACAGCCTTAAAGACCACAGACAGTACTGCAGCAAAAGGTTTGGACTGTTTTGACATGGTGGCATAAGCTTCACTGAATAGCTACAGCACAATATCAATGTGTCCTCAGCTATTCTCAGTAATTAAGGGTGAAACCCAATGCAGTAAAACTTAACTGACAAAAACCCATTTTAAGGGCAAAGTTACACATTCCTAGGTGCTTTATTTTTTAAATTGCAGATAAAGGCTGGCTAAAACTTTATGTAAGCATAATCCAGTCCTACTTCAGGTCTCCAATGAGGCTCTGCACACGGCGGAATTTGAAGGCCTGCTGTGCTGTGTAGCGCTCAAACTGGAAGCGGCCCTGGAGGTCCCTGTGTCGCAGGTGCTCTATGAAAGTGCGGATGATGGTGGCCATCAGGTTCTCCTCCACAATCAGCATCCGTGCCTGAAAGATAGTACTTGCTCAAGGGCCTGCCTCTCACCAGCAATACATGGCTAGGATACACCATTTAAATCCATGCAGCAAGCCTTATAAACTATATAAATGATCCCTTTTTCGTCTGGCATTTTAAAATTTCAATAAGACATATTCAATAAAAATATTTATTCTTAAAGAAGTTTTGTTCCAAAAACCCTGTAACAGATTTACCCCAGAAAGGCCAGCAGATTGGATTCTCTCCATTAAATCATTTTGTATTGGCAAGTCAACATGTATGAAAAAAATGTACACAACTTGAGAAGATCAAAAAGATCAAAGATCAAACCTACTAAATCTGTGAAACTTTTAACAGAAAAACACAACTTGATATTGTATACAGAGAGGTAAGAAAGAACAGCAACCATGCAGCACATCATTAGCACTTTTGTTACTAAATGATTTACATCACACATTCAAATGGACATTCAAAGGGTTTATTTTTTAAGAATCGAGTAGTACAAATAGCACAATCAAGATATAAAATATATTTTACAAAGTTAGCAAGCAAATCATTTAATGAGCAGCAGAAATTCAGCACAAAAATGTCTTACCGCTGCATTCTTAAATTGTGGTATTTAGTGAATCTCCATGTTCTTAATGAATACGGTTTAATCCACAACAGTCAATAAGCCTTTGGCCGTTAATTGACTACTTCTAAACTTTTATTTAAAAAAAGATTTTAAAGTGACGGGATTAAATTAAGTCGGAACCACTGCTGCCGTAAGATGTCGCAGGTAATACTGCAGGTGTCTTGTGTAGGCTCTCACTCCAGCTTACACTAGTCTGCTCACCATTACACATACTCACCAGCGAGGGCACCGTGAATATTTGCACGGAGAGGTCAGTAACCGAGAACTCTCTGTCGTGGTCATCTTTCACAAAGTCACTCTGCAATCGTTCAAAATTCTAATGGGAAGGCAAAGAAGAGGCAAAAGTGGGGACGCTCAGTGCGTTCAGAAGCCAAGCCTGTACAGTACTCACCATAGTGGGCACAGTGAAGAGCTGGACAGACATAGACGTCACTGACATTACACGCTCGTGATCATCCTCCATAAAATCTGTCTGTAGCCTCCGGTAATTCTAAACAACAAGGGGGGGGGAAATTCACCTCCAGGTCAATGGCCTCACACTGCATTACTCTTCAGCAATGACCTGTCCCCCTTCCCAAATTATTAGTGTAGCCAATTATTTGGACGCAATTTGGTTCAGAAAGACATCCTTTTTAAAACAAAACACTTTGTACTCGTCTTTTAATTTTTTGGCTGCAAGAAAGAAAAGATTATCCAAAGCCCTGTATCAGATCACAACAGTAACCCCTGTGCGAAAGCTATCTGTAAAGCTCTGGTGCAGAACAGTAGAATTATTGCAGAGAGAGAAGCAGCACTATCCTCTTTATTAGAATTTTACATATGATAATAACTACCAGTTTATGATTTTAAGTAGCAACTACAGTTCTGCAATTAAAAACATGAACCATTTTTGGTTTGGCTGATAATATAAGATTTCAATAAACAGCATTATAACAAAAATCGGCATCTTTAGCAAGTATTAGTCTTGCTATTTGAAGGTTTCCCGTGTTACATATTAGTAAAGGATACCTGTATCCCAAAAAGAAAACATTCTCCAAGTTATTTACAGCTTTACAAGTTCTTTACATCTAAAAATTTCGCAAAATGATTTTTAAACAAACCTGTTTACCCATTATTTCTGTTTGACACTTTATGCAGTCGTGTGAACTTCAGGCACTCACACGCTGTCTGCACACCTGGTTCAGAAACAGGTGAGATTTACGGCTGTCGATTCCTTATGTGCCAAAAAAGTTACAATGCAAATTCATCTCCAGACAAAGACGAAGAAGGATCAAATTGGTAGAACTCAGCAATCTGTGCAAAAAGCAGTAAGGAGCACTCCCACTTGGATGTGTTAACACTATATTACGAAATATATTTTTATTCTAATGGCTATATCAAATTATATAAGAATGAAAGATACAAAATACTATTATGAATGTGTTATATTTATTTCCAAGCATAATATTGGGGTTTAGTTAAACAAAAGCTGACAAAACTATAAAATAGAACAACAATCGATAATCATAGAAAACCCAAGACATCAGGTAATCAACCTGAAGTCTTTATTATTTTTACCACCAGCAATAAGAACTACAGCTCCAAAAACAGCTAATGAGAACTAAAGGCTACTGTATGAACTGCTATTGCTGTTTGAAATAAAATTTGAGTACAACCTTATTTGATTAGAATGTCTTCTATCTATTATAAAATGAATTTCTCCATCAGGAAATGGCTGTTAATGTTGCTTCTTATACAGTATTAATGGATTCAAGTTTTAGTACTGTCCTGGATCAAGTGTGTCCTCAAAACCATTAGAATGATCCTTAAAACTATGCACATCCTATGTTTTTGGGAAATGTCAGGAGGGGCCTTAAATTGTTACTAAACAATTTGACCACATTTTTAATGAAATAACCATTCACTGTTTTTCACTACAGGTTCTATAAATGCCTTGAAATGTGCAGTTGACCCCTGTAAAATGAGGAACTGCTCATTTTATTAAGTATAACCATAATGAGCATGACAACAAATGTCAAAAAGTAATTTTTGACAATTTGGAAAAGTATAAGAAAACTTTGAATGTATTTGATATTTTAATATTCAGAAACAATTAAGAACTGCTGAGGGTAATTCACAATTTTCTGGTAGGAGATTTTTTCAGCCACACTGAAGTTGGGGAACTAGTATTACAGATAATGTTAAAGCCGATAGACACCAAAAATAATACATCTAAGAAAACTGACAAACACATTCTGCCTATTTCATCTTGCCTCCCTGGAGTTGACAGGCACTGAAAATGATCACAGAGACAGCCCCCAAGTTTCAGCACAATGCAATTGACCCCAAAACATGCATTTTTCCCAATAATAAAAAAGTGAACTTACTTTTGCAAACTGTATTGCAAACAGTTTCTTGTACTTCAGGTCCATAAGAAGGCTGATCATGAACAACTGATGATATACGCTCCTGGCACCTGGAAAAGCAATCAGACAAGCTTTTTAACCCAAGCACAGCGGACACCAATGAAACCTATTATAGGATTACTTCTGCTAAATATGATGAGATTTTAATAAAATGATCAAGACCATCTAACAAACAATTCACATCTGTCACAACACATGCAAGTGTATTACTGTGTGTGTCAGCCATCGTCCCTTCCACCAGGGAACACATACGCAGAAATTTAAATTGGTTTGAGAAATAGAATTCACCTTTTCCTGTCTGCATGATAAAGTGCAGTTCTGTACATGAAGCCCTCAGGGAGAAATTACAGAACTCATGATAAGGCTCAGCACTGCATTAACCTTTTCTCTCCACTTGGGACTTTGCACCTCTTCACCTTGGGTATTCTATAACTGCTATCAGTCCAGTAACATTTACAATAGTGGTCCCTTCTGAGGTATAAAGCTATATTTTGCCATAAATCACAGTGGTATTGTAAAAAGGAAATATAAAAACTGGAATAGTAAATGGACATTGAGAAATAAATACAGGCTGCAACTAACTTTAGGTGCTCAAAGTTCATTACTTCTATGTTTTGTTGTTTTATAAATTCCAGAAAAGAGTATCCATTTAAGGTTTAATTTGTGCCAAAATTAAATTAAGATGCACCTTCACTATAAATATATATAGAACTGTACGTAATGCAAGCACAAGAAAATCCATTTGACCCCTGGAGGAGTCACACGGTAAGTGGAGCAGGTTTGTTTCAGGTCCTCTTAGACTGTGTATCCGGTCTCACCTTTCCAGAGCTTGGAGTCACACAGCATCAGCTTGTCCACCAGCGAGGAGTTCTCCCCGTCAGGACCCTTCTGCAGCCCCACCCGGCACAGGATCCTTCTCAGTCCATCTGCAATTCAAACACAAAACACCAACGTTTACTTCAGTACAGTCTTTTGCACATGTTGGATTACCCACTCCTTCTTTCATTTTAAATCATTCTTCAGCCCTTGACAGTCCCCTTTACTAAACTTTTTTTTACTGCAAAGTAATCTACATAAAAATGATTCAATTTAACATTTGAAATGATCATTTACTGAAAATGAAGGCAATACCTAAAAAGAAAGAAGACCAAGAAAACATACTGTACCATGATGGCTGATAATATCAATCAAAGTGTCAAGAATAACAAAAGTTGTGTACCACAGTAATGGCCATTTCCAAGTATACATATTTCTAAGAAAATGTTAAGACAATTATATTCAATTCCACACTTGACTTTAAGATGTGTACTATTCTGACGTGTAGTAAATATACTAACAAAAGAAAGTAAGAAGCTTTGTCGATTACTTGTTGAAGGCACTGTGAAATTATTAAAAACGTCAAGGAGAGTATTTAAGCTATAAATCCTTTATACAACTACGTAAGTCAGCCACTTATGTTTTTACTTACAATGACAACTTGGCGAAGCCTCATACCGACTGTGTAAATAATACAAACAAAACCACTGTTCTGAGAAAGTCGCCTCACCTGAGTATCCAATGATGTGTCCAAGCCAGGACAGGACCTTGAGGCCAAAGCACTGATGAGCAACAACAGAGGAGTGCATCACTTGTACCTTCAGGGGCTTAGACTGCCGGCTGGTGTTCCTCTGCAATACACAAGACAACTTAACAGACTGGAAAAGCTGACTGCTGTTGGTTTATGCTGCAAACCTCAATCAGCTGATGTAAAACTCCTTAAAATAAGTAGTGTAAAATATTAAATGGGAATGAACGTTGTGCAAACCGTGTAGTGGTAACTTACAATATATTTCAGAGTTAAGAAGTAGTTTCCAACACAAAACATATGCAATTAATAAAACTTAAAATATTTTACTACTCACAACTATGACTGATTTAGCTTGCTCGCAGAACTGAAAGTCTCCATATCGCACTGATTTCCTGCCCTGAAGAGGAAGAAAAGGTAGCATTAAGCAAGGAAAGCAACAAAACATATGTACACTCATTGTATGAGAAACTCACATTATTATTTTTATTTTATATTTTAATTTCATGCAATAAACACATGAATGTGTTTACATCCCTTATATTAAACAGGAAGCAACTCTACAGGTCATAATTAGAAAAAAATTGACAGTAGCCTTTGAAAGCCATTTTACATGCTACTGATATATAAAACCCATATTCACACATAAGTCAAGAAAAAAATTCTCAAAGTGCCTAGTGCAGGAGGGGAACAAAATTTGAATATAGCAATAAAAAAATCTTACGTCTCTATCAACTGTTGTGGCAAAGCTGACAGCTTCCTTTTGTGAGCAATTGACAGCTTTCTGTAGTGTGTAGATCACCTGCTCGTAGGTGTGCACCTCATCGTTGAACAGCATGCAGTAATACGTATCTGCTTTTTCTCTGAAACATTAAGTGAGAGGTTAGAACTTCTGATGAAAAAAAGCGCCTTATAAAAGCTTCTTCCTCATAATGACAGACAGCATTTAATGCCTTGGGGGTCCGTGCTTCTGGTATGATGCTGATGAGACTGCTATCGAACCCCTTGTTTTCGCCATAGGTAATGAAGCCTATTCATGAAGAATGTTTGCACTGTTAGCGAATATCAAGCACAATAAATTGTCAAAATCACTCACAAGAGCTCCAAGCCTGTGGGCAATTCCTCCTCTTTCTCCCAGGTCAGCATGTCCACAGCGTACTTCAGCATGATGGAGAAGATGTTGTAGGCATGAGCAATCATGTCCTCAGAGAGGTGGGCCAATGGGTCCTGAGGTCATACAACACCAAATGTTAACATCCTTTGGACATTTTTGGTTCACTTCTAAATCCAACACAATATAAACCTCAGGACATGTAGTAGAAAATAAATCTCACCCAAATGTGACTTCATTCCTTATACCAGTGTTGAGAGGGATATAAGATCAGTAGTGGTACAGTAGTAACATAGCACCTTATTGTAAACTGTTTTAATCAATAAACGAACAATGGTATTGTATATTACTAGGTTCAACATTTTTCTTAGAAAACTCATTAGGGAACAGATAAAGACAAAAGTCGTAGCCAGTGGGATTTTTTTATTTACATTTGAGAAGTGTTTTGAATACGCAGAAGCACTAGGGTAATAAAAAGCATCATTCACAACACATGGCAGTGTAATTGGACAAACCATTTATGTTGCCTTACCTCTTCTGTCCAGTCACTGATGTTTGGCTCATGTTTCTGACAGTAAGGACCCTTCTTCCAGGCCTCTGTGTCCCCACAGTCACAAAAACCCCCTCCTCCAGAGGTTGTCATCTGCAGCAGATATGTTAGCAAATATGACTGATGTTAGACTGCTTCCAAGTGATCAGAGCATCCCACTGTTAACCACGGTGCCCTAACTTATCTGGTCAAAGAAAAGAAAATAATACCCAGTGGGCTTTATGCTCTTACCCTGTAGCGGTGATCTCTATGGACACTGCCCAGGAAACACTCCATACACAGAACACAGGTAGGGTCAGATGCACACTCCCTTAAAAAGT